TCTCCTGGCTTCTGCTTCAGTTTCTGCCTGAAGGTTCCTGCCTTGAGTTCCCTTCACAATGGGCTATAAAGAGTAAGCTAGAACACACCCTTTCCTCCCCGAGTAGTTTTTTGTGGTGAAGTTGATTATAGCCACAGAAAACAAACCAGGACAGACAGTATGCTTGCCTGCTGGAGCACCGACTTCTCGGCAACGGGGAAGATAGAGAGAATTGATGAGAACCTGGTTGTGTTATACAACTCTCACCTCTTCAATCTTTCTGTCTTTTTTTTTTTTAAGCAGTTTTTGAGACTTTTTTTTTTTTAAGGTTTATTTATTTATTATGCACACCATGTTCTGCCTGCATGTACACCTGCAGGCCAGAAGAGGGCACCAGATCTCATTACAGATGGTTGTGAGCCACCATGTGGGTGCTGGGAATTGAACTCAGGACCTCTGGAAGAGCAGCCAGTGCTCTTAATCTCTCCAGGCCCCCTTTCTGTCTTTTTTAAAATTGGAAATAAACTTTTCATACCATACATTCTGACCACAGTTTCCCTTCCCTCTTCTCCTCCCAGATCCTCCCCACCTCCCGCCCATCTAATCCCACCAACTCCTTCTTTCTCTTTAGAAAACAAACAAACAAACCAGAATAAAACAAAGCAAACAGACAGAAAAACAAAACAAAACAAAAACAAAGCAGGAGAAACACATAGTTACCCCCTCCCCCCCCTCCCCCCCATAAAAACACAAGATTGGAAACTATGATAGACAGCAAAAGGAAAGTAGGGAACAAAAGGCACAAAGAAAGCATTATGAAACACAACATCTCCAAGAGTACTACTGAGCTTGTTTTGTGCTGGTCGTCTTCCGCTGAGAGCGTGGGGCCTCCCTTAAGTGTGGTTTGTATGCCAAGTATAACTCAAATGCAGAAAACTAAATTTTCCTTTACAAGTAGTTGTCAGCTGGAGAGAGCTTCTGGGTTAGGGATGTGAGCTCGTGTCTGTGTCCCCTGTCGGCGCTGGGGCTCCATCAGGCCCTGTGCACGCTGCCAGTCTGAGTCCATATGTGGATCAGTCCCGTCGTGTCTGGAAAGCACTGTTTTCTTGGTGTCTCCCATCTTCTTCACCGGCTCTTACAATCTTTTTGCCTCCTCTTCCTCATAGTTCCCCGAGGCCAGAGCAGCTGGCCTCAGAGGGTGAGGGGGTTGGAAGGGATGGGGGTTGTTTGATGAAGACATCCTATTCAGGACTGAGTGTTCCACGGTCTCTCACTCTCTGCACATTGTACGGTATAGATCTCTGTATTAGTTCCCCTCTACGGCAGGAGGAAGCTTCTCTGCTGCTGGCTGAGTGAGACACTGATTCACGGAGATAGCAGAATGTTGTCAGGAGTCATTATCATGTTCTCTCAGCAGAACAATAGTATTTGATTTTTCTCTAGATGCATGGCCTGTCTAGTCTCAGGTTCTTGGCCATCTGGAGAAGTGTCAGGTATGGGTTTCATTTCATGGAGTGGACCTTAAATCCAACTAAATAGTGGTTGGTTACCTACGCAACTTTTCCCCAGGGCTTATCCTTCCCTGAAGTGCTCTAGGAAACCAATTTCCTTCTTTTCATACTTATTTGGATTCTGAGATAAAATATAAGTGGTTTTTCAGATGTTGGCGAGAGTATAAGGAGAGGCTGGATTTGTGTCCTGCAGTATGCTAGTTAATGAGTTTGGGGAAAACGCCTCAGTATAAAAATCTGGCCAACAAGCTCAGTCCAGAACCGGAAACAGATCCCAGCATGCAAAACTGCAGCTCAAAGCACAAGACACAGGACGCGCGCTCCTTCCGTCATCTGCCCTGACTCGGAGCCCAACAGCAGCCGAGCACTCAAATCCTCCCGCCGACCAGCGGCCCTTGCGCGCGGCAGGAAGCCCGGAGAGGGCGGTGCTGTGGGCGGGGCCGCAGCAGCCAGCGCTCGCCGTTCATTGGCTTCCGCGCCGGAAGCTGCGGCGCCGTCCAGCTGCGCACGCGCCCTCTGGCGCTCGGGGGGACGCCGCCTCTCGGGCTGGAGCCGGCTGGCACCATGCTGCGGCGGTGCGCTCTGCGGGTGCTGGCGCGCTCCCGGGCGGGCCGCGGCTGTCGCCGCTACGGCTCGTGCTCGGCGAGCGGCCGTGGCGACGCCGGGGAAGCGCGGGCCTACTTCACCACACCCATTTTCTATGTGAACGCCGCGCCGCACATCGGGCACCTGTACTCGGCGCTGCTGGCCGACGCCCTGTGCCGCCACCGTCGTCTCCGTGTTCCCGGCTCCGCGTCCACGCGGTTCTCCACCGGCACGGACGAGCACGGCCTGAAGATCCAGCAGGCGGCAGCCGCCGCGGGTCTGCCCCCGATCGAGCTGTGCGATCGAGTGTCTGCCCAGTTCCGGCAGCTTTTCCGGGAGGCTGGCGTCTCCTCCACCGACTTTATCCGCACCACGGAGGCCCGGCACCGGCTGGCGGTGCAGCACTTCTGGGGGGTGCTGGAGGCCCGGGGTCTGCTTTACAAAGGGCTTTATGAAGGATGGTATTGCGCCTCCGACGAGTGCTTCCTGCCCGAGGCCAAGGTCACTCGGCAGGTGGGTCCGTCGGGGGATCTGTGCCCAGTGTCTCTCGAGAGCGGACATCCTGTCTCTTGGACCAAGGAAGAGAATTACATTTTCAGGCTTTCCCAGTTTCGAGAACCACTCCTGCGGTGGCTTGGAAACAATCCTCAGGCGATCACCCCGGAGCCGTTCCACCAGACAGTTCTTCAGTGGCTGCAGGAGGAGCTGCCCGATTTGTCCGTTTCTCGAAGGAGTAGCCACCTGCACTGGGGCATTCCGGTTCCCGGGGACGATTCGCAGACTATCTACGTGTGGCTGGATGCCCTGGTTAACTACCTCACCGTAGTTGGCTACCCAGATGCAGATTTCCAGTCTTGGTGGCCAGCCACGTCTCATATCATAGGTAAGGACATTCTCAAATTTCACGCCATTTATTGGCCCGCCCTTCTCCTAGGGGCCGGATTGAGGCCACCACATCGCATCTATGTCCACTCGCACTGGACGGTGAGTGGCCAAAAGATGTCCAAGAGCTTGGGCAACGTGGTGGATCCGAGGACTTGCCTTGATCGCTACACTGTGGATGGCTTCCGCTACTTTCTCCTTCGGCAGGGAGTTCCCAATTGGGACTGCGACTACTATGATGAAAAAGTGGTTAAATTGCTGGACTCTGAGCTGGCAGATGCCTTAGGAGGTCTTTTAAACCGGTGCACTGCCTACAGGATAAATCCTTCTGGGACTTACCCATCTTTCTGCGCTGCCTGTTTCCCCAGTGAGCCAGGGTTAACGGGGCCATCGGTTCGTGCGCAGGCAGAAGACTATGCGCTTGTAAGTGCAGTGGCCACTTTGCCCAAGCAGGTGGCCGACTATTATGATGACTTTCAGATCTATAAGGCTTTGGAGGCAGTATCCAGCTGTGTTCGGCAAACTAATGGTTTCATCCAGAGGCACACGCCATGGAAATTGACCAGCCCTGCGGATGCCCTCTGGCTGGGTACTGTGCTTCATGTAGCCTTGGAATGTTTGCGAGTTTTTGGAACCTTGCTTCAGCCTGTTACTCCAAACTTAGCTGATAAGCTGCTGTCAAGACTGGGGGTCTCTGCCACAGAGAGAGGCCTCAGAGAGCTCTACTTCCTACCTCGATTCTATGGACACCCATGCCCCTTTGAAGGGAGAAAGTTGGGACCAGACACTGGGCTTTTGTTTCCAAGACTGGACCAATCCAGGACCTGGCTAGTGAAAGCCCACAGGACCTAGAATAGTCCTTACTGGCTGATGGTAAAAGAGCAAAATGTATTCCTTCTGCATTTTCAGGAAAGTTACAGTGTTTAGAAAGTGTTGTACCAGGTACCAGGCACCTAGCCCAGCCCTTTCCTTCCCTGTGCCACTAACCACTGTTCCCTGTTCGCCACTGTCTCTGAGAAGGATGGCTGAGGAGGGACCAAGTTTCTGATACTGTTCCTTCTCATTGTACCTTCTCCCAAACCATGGTCAGACTACCTCTCGTGGTTTCTACTCCTCAGGCAGAAACTAGGGCTGCAGTCAGTCCCTGGCCGGTTTCACAGGTCAGCTCTACTCTGTTAGACACAGTGGGTCTCCAGTTGAAGAGGTTCTTTTACTGGAGCTAGAGGAGCCAGTGTCCTCGACGACATGACTTTGGCCCATGTTCATTCTCATTTTTTAAACTGCAGCACTTGTGCTTTGTAATACTACACTTCATCCAGTAGATGGCTCTGCTCTCACATTCAACTTATGTATGTGGTTTCAGACGACTGAGAATTATTTTCCACAATCTAAATTCACAGATCTTTAGAATCATACTGTTTTTTCTTAAAGGATAACTTTGGAACCACTGCTATTTTAAAAATACAAAGATACTAGAATTCTCATTTTAAAATTACTAAAAATGACATGTACAATAAGTAATAAGTAAATATAACGTTATTTATATGATAAAACTATAAAGCTCTTAGGTACACTGTGCATTACAAATACTAAATTTTAGTAATGATTATATGTATAATTCATCTATAAAGCCCTCAAAAGGGCAGTATTCTCTTTATATTTATTTCCCGACATCCATAATTTATCTCATACAATTACTTTTGGTCAATCAGGATATATAATACAGAAATTATGTAATAATTGTTAATATATTTATGTCAAAGTAATTTTTGTTGATTACTTCTCTTTTTTGAGACACGCTTTCACTATATAGTTTAAGCTTGCCCCAATTCATCCATCTCCTGCTCGGCCTTCCAGGTGCTGGTGTTATAGGTGTACCAGCATGCCTGTCCTTCTTTTAACTTGCTATTAAAGTGTGATATAAGTACCTTACATAGAGCTGGTCAATTACTTTTATGGAAGGTAATGTTGAAGGGAGCAAATGATCAGTGTTCAGGACTGTTAAGGGTTCAGGGCCTCTCCAAGGCTTCATAAAAGAACACCCAGAGACGATGTTAAGTAACAATTAATACAGTGACTAGAATGTAGTAAGTCACTGTCATATCTCATAGGTAACGGGATAGCTAGGCCAGAGCTTAAAATGCAAGCTTGCTTTGGAACGTCCATTCTAAGTATAGTGTCAGGCAGAAAGGGCTCACCATGAAGTAAACAGTTGTGCTGGCAGTTTCTCCAGACTTACTTTAAGTGCCACCATTCAGCTCCAGTTCCCGGTAATTAGCAAAGTGACAGGTTGTGGGTTGCTAGGAAGCACTGTTTGGAAAAGAATGCTTGAAAACATTCTAAAGGTGGAAGGACATGTCCACAAGTGCTCCTTTGGACTGTGCATCATTCTGTGCTTTCGGTCACTGCATCTCCAGAGGGCGTATCTTGTTACCTGCTGGGATCAGTAGGGTAGACTCTGGGGTCTAGGACTGTCTCTTAGGGCTGCATAGTGATGCGACTTAGCTGTGTTTCCCCAAAAGGCAGGCATGTAGAGAAGCAGTGAGATTCTGACCTCTGCTTTGCGAGCCCTACTGCAGCGTTGGAGTTCCTGCACAGACTCATCGAGTCTTCCTTAGGTGATCTTCCTCATTTCCCAGTGGAGCTCGGCTTGCTGTTAGTGGAGGTTTTGCAGACTGCTACTTGTGAAGGCATTTAACTAGCTGTTAGATACTAGGAGTCAGGAGATCAGAAGAGAGATTCCTAATTATAACAGCCAACTACTTTAAGTGGAAAAGTGTGGTAAACCGGATCCTACTTGTGTGATCAGGAAGATCAAACAGATTTCTGTAATAGACACAGTAGGTGAAACAAATTGCCTTGTACACATTTGTGTTTGGTTTGACACAGCAGTTTACAATTGCCAAGGGGAGAGTTACATTTAGTCGGAGAGTTTGTACTTCCAAGGTGAGAGGCATCTTAACTGATCTGGGAAAAGGGAATAAATGTGGAGATTTGTAAGATTCCCCATTCCAGAAATGTTAGTCCTTTATGTGGCATCTTATAGACCCTTTTGCTATCTCAAGATACTCTTGTGATCCTCAAATACTCATTTTGGTGTACTCTTGAGGCAATATTACAGGAAGTGACAGCCCAGCCTAGATCAGGTTTTCAAGGGCTGTCACATTAGGAAGCTGTGACATACAGCTTAGTGGTAGAGCACTTACCTAGCATGGAGGGCCTTGGGCCAATCCTAAGTACTGCCAAACAAACAACAACAGATCTCACCTCTCCAGACTTCTGTCCTCTATCTGTGAAGTCATGTAAGCAGCAGCAGTGATGTTTATGTTAAATAGTATTACTGTGTGCTGAGTTCTACAAACAAACTGATATATTAGGCTCATTCCTAATTGGAAAACCCATAGCTGTAGAAGCAGCAAGCAAAATCTTTGATTGCATCAAAGCTTCAATCATTTTATAAATAGACATTTTTCTTGAGAACCTATGAGCTTTAAAAAAAGTGTGAACAGGCTAATAGACTATAAAGTTGATGCTGAAGTGTGTAAGTGCACAGGCTGGAAGATGGGGCCTTGAGCACACATTTGTTTGATGGGTTTTGTTTTGGTCAAGGTTCTACCTGTAATTACAACCAAGTTCTTTAGCTCTAGAAATTCCTACACTGGAATAGGCATTAGTTGGTCGTGTAGGCTTCAGAAAGGATGATCCCAGAAGCAGAAGTAGTAAGAGTCTAAAGATTATAGTAGGCATGGCTTCATGGTTCCGGCTGCTCTACCTCTCCCACAAATGTAGTGGCAGTGCGCTGCACTGGTGTCAGTTATGGGGGAGGCCTAGACAAGATGTGGCCAATGAACACTGCCGCTTTATGATCATTTATAATTGCCTTCTCAGGGCAATTTCCCTCCTGTAGTGCAGCTGAAGAAAGCTCTTGTGGTAGTTCTGGGTGTTAGAAACTTTGGTGGGTCTTGTCCTTGTCTTACCCAAATATTTGGAGATAGGAGGATGTGGATGTGACTACAGTTACATGTGTTTTTGCAGCAAAGTTTTACTACCTTGAAAAAGCGGAAGAAAACTCAACCCAGAAAACGGGAAAGAAGATGAAAAGGGCAAAGAAAAAGCAAAAAATAGTATAAGTAGAAAACTTGTTAAGATGATGAATACAAATGAGTAATTATAATAGTATAAAATTTTATAACCTCTGAAGAGACAAGATTAAATGACAGACAGCTGGCATAGCACTATGTAATATAGACAATGCAGGCTGTGGTAAAACCCATTGGTGACACAAGGGACGTGGTATGAAAGGAATAATGCACCAAGTTGTATCAGTCATGAACTTGGGTGATCTAACAACAGAGCCTTAAAAACAGAAAAAGCTAATACTAAAACTACATAAAAAATTCCACTTCGGAGTTCAGGGAAATCATACAATGAGAAGTAAATAATACAGTCAACAGTAATTATTAGCATTTGAACCTTTAATACTTACTACATAATGTATCATTACTGCTAAGTGAAGGGAAAAGAATTTGTAGCAGACACATTTTGTAGCTTTAAATTTTCTTTTTCCACACAAGTCTGTTAAAATAACTGGGAATGTCAGTCCAATGTACTTGGTTCAGTCCTCTCAGTAGCTCCCCCACCCCAGCTGAGTGTTGGGGCTCACCTCAGCTGGGTGTTGGGGCTCACCCCTTTAATCACAGCAGGTAGAGGCAGGGCAATCTCTGAATGAGGCCACCCAGGGTCACAAAACAAAACAAGTGACAATTTTGTGAGATGTTCGTTAGTCCAGTAATAAGAGGACAGGAGAAAACTAATAGCTCCTTTGTGTTTCTCTTCCCACTGACCCAGTGAGCGAGGGAGAAATGGAGGCACAGAAGACAATTTGCATAGGATTCTAGCGTGTAAAACCATAGCACCTAGACTCAAAGGGCCCCATGCTGAGCCTTAGAACACCGTAGCGTGAACACCAGCCATAAATATTGTGGAGAGCATAATTAGATCCAAATTATTTGAGATGAAAAGAACCTTTAATTGGAACTCATTAGTGTTTGAAGCTGAGGGGAGTCAGTTTGACAGACTAGGAAAGTGCTAACAAAAACTTGCAAAGCACCTTTTTCATGAAATATGGTACATTCGCTAATTTCTTTTGTATCCTAAACCTGCTTTAATTTTGGTGCAAGTTTAGCAATTTTTAGGAACTGTATAGCCTACAGCTTTGCTTCAACATTATTCTCTTTATTATTTTCAGAAGTACTCTAAATCCCAGAATGCAGTGGTTAACCTCTAACCCACATCTTCTTAGTGGTCACATCACTGCAGGGATTAAAACATTGGTCAACAGTACCAGATTTCTGAACACACAACCAAAAGTTCATTGAAGTGGGTGAGGAATCCACATGCCTCTGGTAGCACTCACCTGTTGCGCTGCAGGAGACTGCAGCCTCGGTTCTGTGGACAGAACACGTGCCTTTTGCTTTGCAGGTGCCTGGCGTGGACTGCAGTGTCAACAAAGGCTGACAGATGTGACTGGATGTCTGAATACTTGGTTCCCAGTTGGTGGTGCTGTGTGGGGACCTGGGTTGGTGGAGCTTTGCTTGAAGAAGCACGCTGAGGGGCTTTGATATTGTTTCTTTCCCCTACTTCCAGTTTGCTCGATTTATGGTGTGTGAAGAAGTGAGTGCTCAGCTTCCTGTTCCTTCTGCTGTGCCTACCATCTGCTGGTATTCCTCCCTGCCATAATGGACTCTTATCCCTCTAGAACTGGAAGTCAGAAAAGCTCTTTTTCCTGTAAGTTGCTTTTGGTTATGGTATTTTATCAGAAAGCAACCCAGGATACTGAAGCACCAGGGCTCAGACACAGAACTCCTGTATATTAGGGCTGCTCTATTTTTACTATGCAGAGTTTTTTCTGCTTATGGGTATATGATGCTTTAAATATGGAAAAAAAAACCCTTCATGTTTTCCATCAATCATTCCTTAGCACTTAAGAATCGAATCTGTTTAATATTGGGTTGTATTGGACTGGAGTATTTGATTAAAAAATTGTTGATCTAGAAAGGGAATCATGAGAAGGGGAAGAAGGGATCTTCAGGGATACATGAAATAAAGTAGTGGGGTACATGTGATAGGAAAGCAGAGTGGGTTAAGGAGGGAAAGGAAGCGAACCTGCTGAATGGGGAATGAATGAGAAAGTAGGGCACATGTATGAAGATGTTATAACTAGTTACTTTCTATGCTAATCTGAAAAATTAATAAAAATAAATAAATAGGGGCTAGAGAGATGACTGTGTGGTTAAGAACACTTCCTCCTGCAGAGGATCTGGGTTGGAGTCCCAGCACACACGTACCTCACAACAGTCTAACCAGTTCTAGGAGCTGATGCCCTTTTCTGGCCTCCACTGGCATCACATGCAACTGGTACACATACAGACACATGGGCAAAACTCTGCAAAAAATAAGTACATCTAGTGCCTTGAATGAGAATGGTGCTCATGGGCTCCTGTTTGAGCTCCAGTTGGTGGAATCCTTTGGGAAGGATTAGGAGGTGTGGCCTTGTTGGAGGAGGTGTGTCACTGGTGGTGGGGCATTGAGATTTCAAAAAACTGCCATTCCCAGTGCACTCTCTGCTCCTGCTTGTGATTAAGTGTGAGCTTTCAGCTGCTGCTACATGCCTAACTCCACATCTAACCCTCTGGAACCGGAAGCCCTTGGTCATGGTGTTCATCACAGCAATAAAAAAGTAAGACACTATTAAAATAATAAAAATGGCTTTTTAAATTTTTTCTGTTTGAGTTGCCGATTTGAGTTTGACTGAAAAAAAAAAAATGAAGTTGGGTATGGTGGTTGCATACCTTTAATCCCAGCACTCAGGAGGCAGAGGCAGGTGGATCTCTGTGAGTTCGAGGCCAGGCTGGGCTACAGAGTGAGATCCAGGACAGCCAGAGCTGCAGAGAAACCCTGTCCAACAACAAAACAAAAAAATTAAATGACTTTCATTTAGGGACTAGGTCAGATTTTCCAGCAATTTCTGAACTAATCCTAAACACCCTTCTGCCATTTTTGTATTATGTATTTCTATGAAGCAGCATTCTCAGCATTATTTTGATTTTATAATCTGAAGTTGAAGATGTTTTATGTCTTAGTATCAGCTAGTCAGCCAAGATTTAATTCCTAAAGATGTGAGACATTTTTACTGTTGGTGTGTGTGTGTGTGTGAGATGTGTGTGTCCTGGCACACATGCAATGACGTGTGTGTAGATGACATGACAGCTCTGGGATTGCCCTCCTTCCACCTTCACAGAGCTCTGGGGAGTGCACCCAGGTTGCCAGCGTTACACAGAAACATCTTGTTGACGCCATTGATTCTTTATGTAAAGATAAATAAGCATGTTCATCTTAGTATATATGTATAAAGAAAACACCTTTGCTTTAGGCATTAATAAACAGTAAGGTTCTATTTGTGCCAAAGGACTGTTGTAAAATTTATGATATATCATCAGTAAATGTTTGGCTTGTATACACTCTTCTATGTATATACTAGAGTCATAAAAATTTCTTGGGTGAAAAGGGGGTCACAAATGGAGAAAGTTTAAGAAGCTATTCTGAAAATGAAAATATGTTGTCATAAAGTCATGAGGCTAAGTATTTCAAGACATTTTCCTAATTAATACTTTACACATTTATCTTTAGACAAACATCAATATTCAACTTTATTTGAATTAACTATTATAGTAACAATGCTAGAGAATTTACTAGAGGCCACAAACACTGGAACTCTTTTATTTCATACATACACTTTAATACAAATGAACATATTAATAAAACTTATCTACTTACTAACAATTTAAATTCTATGACATCTATTCTTATGACAAATTTCCTAAAAAGACTGCAGAAACCAGGTCCTTTTGGCTGTGGTTATTACCTATTATCTAAATGCCACATACTCGATAATTCTTGATAAATTTTATCTTATAACATAGTCAAGATGTTCTCATCTCTTTAAACTATAAACGTTGTGAACTGCAAAAAGAAAGACTGAGTGTTCAACTTCACATTTTAAGAGGAATTGTACCTATTTTATTAGATACAAGTTTCACTTAAAAAAAAAAACAGGGGTAAAGCCATCTTTATACAGGTCTTAGCTTCCATGTAAAATATATTTTAAGAAATCAAATGTTTTAAAATCCTTGTCAACTAGGAAGGCCAAGAAACCTACATTTTAATTTTGGGTTTAAAATAACTTCTTTAGGATCCTGTTTGAATGTAGACAGACCTTTGTTAGCAAGGTGTATTGCTTTTCAGTCTTTTAAAGAATGCACAGTAGGTAATGAATGACCTGTTGAAATTAAGGGCCAGTTACTAATTTGTAAAGACTTCCTAAGGTTCAAATTCTTAATACTTGGGAACCTGGAATTACTGAGTTGACAGATTATACTTAAATTCCTATAAAGCTCACTTTACAGAAATTCCCTGTATTTTCTATAAAAGCAGACTTTTAGTATTAAGTTCTGTTCTAGTTTAATTGTGGATGGCTTTTCTTTCTTTTTTAAATGCTGGAGACTGAACTAGCATCTTGTGCATGTTGAGGCAAGCATTTTCTCTAGCCAGTGTTTATTTTTAATTCAGTATGGGACTCTATAAAATAAGAAGTCTATTTCTAAGTACTGACAAGGTTAGTTATTGGAAATGTGTGTAGTGAGCTGCATGAAAGATGAGTGGTTGGTTTTTATGCCACTTTAGGAAGGATTTTTATTTGGATGCAAAGCAAACATTTTGAACATTCATTGTGACATTGTTTTGACTAGTATAAAATATAAAAAGTGGTTGGTTAGTGCTCAAGGGAATTATTTTAGTTAAACTATTGTTCACATAAAGTCAGTCTCTAAAAAGTAATCAATTCACACCACATTTTGAGTGAAATATTTTTTGATGTAACTGATGTCATAAATTATATATCCAGCATAAGAGAACACACTTTTTCTGTAATTCATGGAGATTATATAAAGAGCTATTAGCTCTGACATAAACAGACCGTGTAAACGTATAGCTCTGTAGCTCAGTGTAATATATTAGGAAACCACTGTGATTTCAGCTAGACAGACAGCAGTAATAGTGAAAACTCGCTACTTAAAACCAAGTAATGAGAGGGGGCTAGTCAGGCTGAACCAAGCTACTGAAAACTATCATTGTTAAGTTTGTTGAGGTAGATGTTTAAATATTCAATATGTAAAGCTATGTATGTCTTAGCTCAACTGTTTAAAACAAATTCTGTAAAGATTATATATGTAGTCAGGAAATGGGCTTAAACACCTGTGTACATGGGATTTTTGCTGAGTTTATTTTCATTTTTCTTTTTGACATTAGGATAGTAAGTGTTATTTTAATTAACAGCAGTTTTCACAGTCTGAGCGGAAGTACTACTACTAACTTTACTAATCAGCATTTGGCTTTTTACAAAAGAGAGAAATTTTTGCATATCTTTAAAAAATCTATCTGTGTACTTTTACATGTTGTTAGAAATATTATGGGAGTATATAGTGTAGCTTTGTTTCTTCTGGTGCTGAAAACAAAGATCCTAATATGATTAGCAAGGAATACATGGTATTAATCTAATCTCAATTGTTATTCTGCTAGCCCCCAAAGAGCAAAGGAAGAGGAAGTCCTTTGGCAACACTTTTTTTTTTTTTTTTTTTTTTTTTGGTTTTTCGAGACAGGGTTTCTCTGTGTAGCTTTGCGCCTTTTCCTGGAACTCACTTGGTAGCCCAGGCTGGCCTCGAACTCACAGAGATCCGCCTGGCTCTGCCTCCCGAGTGCTGGGATTAAAGGCGTGCACCACCACCGCCCGGCCACTTTTTATGCTGACTAGACGTTTCCTTTAGACACTGTTAGTGGTTGTTTCAGAACTATCTGAAACCAAGGGTGAGGCTGACGTAGGATGGCTAAGAAAAAGACCTTGAAAATGGAAAGCTTTATAGTTGTTAAATTTACTTTTGTTAAAATTACTTTTGTTACATTTGTAAAATAAGAGCAAGGTATAACAGCTTAAACAGAGTAATACCTTTTGATATTTTCAAGTTATCTCCATTTTATACTTTACAGTCTACAGAGAGAAATATAATATATAATCTTTACAGAATTAAGTGAAGATAATGTGGAAGTAGAGTGTATTTTAGAAGAGAGCATAATTGCCTGAACTAAACTGGTTAACAAAAACATTTCGCTTTCAGTTTTTTTTTAATGCAAAATACAATTACTCTTAGACTCTTGGAATTTATAAAGGTTTTAGAAAAATGCCTGTTATTCACTGAATAAGCCTGAATAATAAATATGGGATTAAAGTATATACTGAAAACAGGTAAGTTGAGTATCAAATATATTGTTTCATGATATTTTGGCTAGGGCTCTGGTAACAATACATATAGCATGTTACTTTCAAAGTAACACTAGCAAAAGGAAATAGTCTTAATAAAAGATGGAAAGCCTTAGGATGTATGAAGATACTATCTACTAAACAATACTATTACATCTTATTCATAGACATGTATTTTAGCCCAGAAATATTAAGATTACATACCCCAAATAAATATGTACATCCATGAGTATATTCATCATCCTTTATGAGACAGAATAAAAAAGTTATTCAAGTTATTATTGGGTATTGCCTTTCTGATATTATAAGAACTTTTTATAATTCTTACTCTTTCCCAGCAGAAGTACAAGACAGTATTAAATTTTGGAGTAGGTGTAAATTTAAAATACTGAAATTCTAGTATTTCCTAGAAGTATTGTGCTATCAACTTTCATTAAGTTCTAAAGTAAATTTCCATGTAGTCAATTGAAATATTGTTGATTTATATAACCTTATTGTTTTGCTAATCCAAGCTTCTATCAAAGGAATAATTTTTTTTTAAAAACAGAAGTTACATTTGGTAAACAGAAAGCACTGACTTAAAAGATAGTAATTTTTAATTTAAAAATTTTAATTATTGTGGCATATTTTTTAATTTTAGAAACTTTTCTCATTCCATAACAGCAGGCAATCATAGCTTCTTTGTATTTGAAAATAAAATTGTGTTATGGGTAAATTCTAATGTTTTAACAGCCTATAAACCTCACAATGAACCGAGTGAATGAAAGATAAAAATCCTGACAGTATCAAGTCTGACATGATGTAATTATGAATACTTATATTCCCTAAGGTGCTATGCCCTATGAACAATTGTACTTCTTGTAGGAATGACAGAAGAGGGCGAGAAATAGATAATCTTTAAGAACATTGAAGGATAGTGTCACTTTGGTCATAGTAACCACTATACAATAAGTGGTCATAATATGACAGATTAATGGATATTTTATATTTTATAATACACAAATTATTTTTATATCAACATGTATAAAATTTGTAATGTAAGTAGAGTTTGAAATGCTTTTTATCATAACCACTTAATATAGCTAAAATACAAACACAAATGTAGTAAAACCAAAATAATGTGAAAACTAGAATTTATGCATCATCTCCTAACAAGATGGAGTTTTTAAAAGTTATACAACATTACAAAAAAATGGTCTGTTGCTAAGTATTTTTTATCTATGCCATGGATTTGTTTACAAATATGAAACTTCTGGAATGAGACTGAAAACCCAGCCATCAAAGGTGTCTGTAAGTGGTTATGTATGATGATCTGATTGTGCTGCTAAGACTGTTGTGGTCTCGCGTGCTAGGGCTTGTAACTCTGTCTCACTTACGTGTCTGAGTTAAAAAAGGAAACCATGATTGAATTCTGCATCTCCCATGTTCTGGCTACTAAGATTTTAAAAATTCTTTAAAAAAAAAAGCAAAAACATTAACCTTAAGCATATCCCCAAACCTCATTTGTTACTAGACCACAAGCAGGTCTAACCTTAAGCATATCCCCAAACTTCATTTGTTACTAGACCACAAGCAGGGCTAGTTATTTTCTATTTCTGGACAAAACAGTTACCCACGAGTCTACTTAACAAAGTCAGTACAGGAAGGTGGAGTGGAAACTGAATCCTCTGCTCTGAACTCTTTTCTAGGATGGAAGTGTGGGCTTCGAGAGTATCGAGGGTTCAAAGCCACAGGTGAAGGATGAGAAAAGCTTCTTCTCACAGAATGTAACCTTGGCTCCTATTGAGAGATTTAAACAGAGTTAGGGTCTTAATGCACTTTCAATGGCTCTCATTTTTATAATGACTTACGGGACAAATTTAAAAAATAAGATTAACTGTGTCTGGATGTGAGGTCCGAGGGTGCCGGGGTCTAACCCAAGCCTTGTGTGTGCTAGTCAAGTCTGCTCTACCACTGAGCCCTGGGTCTGGATGCTGAGGAAAGGGTTCTTCAGGAAATGCCTCGTATGAAGAGTAGGCTAATTCTAATCTGCTAGACAGGGAGGCATCCCATGGTATAAAGAAATCCCATATTCAGTGAGATTTCTAAATTATGTTATGCTTTCTTTGGGTCATCTCTAAACTTTGGTTAAGTTTATTTTTATTTTTACAAAAATTATGTGCTTATGATATATAAGATTAGAATTAGATCTTATGGACAAGAAAGCACTAGCCAGAGAAAAATCAACAGATTATTAATATAGTAAATGTTAATACGTAAACATTCTTACTGTTAAGCTAACAAGTGACTTTTATTTGATCTACAGCAAAATATAAAGATTGCTAGAGATAGTTCCCTGCTTAAGACACTGAAAATAGGGAATTTTACTAAGGTATCTATAATAACTAAATGCCTACTTTAGAGCATCTGTGGGGAGGCAAATCCTGTTGCCTAGAAATCTCATCAATGGTTCTGTCTACTTTAAATGACGGGAGTTCAATACTGTAATCAAGGAATAAAGTCATCAAGGAGGCAGTGTCTGTGCTGTACTGAATAAAACTTCTGAAGTAGGACCTAGACCAAATCAACTACATCTGACTATAAAAATATTTTAGTAGTTCTTCTAAAAATTTAACTAGCATCTTACATACAGTTAAGGGATATGCATAAAATTTCTAAGAATAAAAAGCAAAGTTTGTCCAAAGGGAAATTTTACAGTGTGGTTTCAAGTAACATGATACGGGCACAGAGAGCACCCTACTGTTCTGCTAGAGCTCTGAGCATATCTACCAGCAAAGAACGAACCAGCAGTGCTAGAGCAAGTAAGTGTCAGGAGAAATTCAGGAAAACAGTGAGTCGTTTGTAAAGTACAATAACAGATCTGGAGGCTTCCAGATTCAATGTGCAAGTATAGTTTATTAACAGCACTTATGATACTTTGTGACATTACAAAATAGTCTTCCAGCTTGAAAAGAATGTAACAATGTATTGTAATAATAAGCTAAAGAAAGTTTATCAAAAATTAGTATTATGAGAAAATTTACTCCATTGACATTAGGTTATATTAGGTCAGGCACTTTTTACAAATTTTTGAGTTCAGGAGACCATAAGACAATTTTGATAGTGACTTTTACCTTAGAATTCGATTAAATTTGGGGCTGGAGAGATGGCTCAGTGGTTAGAAGCCAAGTACTGCTCTTCCAGAGGACATGAGTTTGATTCCCAGCACCCACATTAGCTGGCCCACAACCACCTGCATATCCAGCTTCAGGGGTATCCTGCATCTCTGGCCTTTGTAGGTACTTGCACTCACATACACATAACCACACACACACACAAATATACATAATTAAAAATAGTAACAAAATTAATTAGATCAAATTTTATCTACATAAAAATGGTTTGAGTATAGTACTTATCACTAGGATGTAACAAAACCAGGCTTGAAGAACTGTCCCCAGCTAGCAGAGCTGGGGCTGTAGTTGAGTGGAGGAACTGAGATAAAAAGACCAAATGAGGAATCATACACAAAGACTGATGAACGCCTGCACTGTAGAGATTAACAAGAAGAATGGAGAGGAAGATGGAAACATGTTTTGGTAGTGGATTTTGTTTCAAAAATATTTTGAGGTGTGTTATGGTCTCAAGAGAGTGGATGGCCCAAGCTGTAGCTATCTTTTACTGTCTGATGGCCAACAGATTTCTGGGATACCCTAGAAGGCCTTTCTTCTTACCATATGTTTCTTGTATTTCCTAGAATGCTGACTTGCACAATACTTTAAATGACTATTTTTTTTGAAAAACAAACAAACAAAAAAGACTTTTTAATGGGCAAAGGGCTCTACATCCTACTACAGAGATACTTGGTCAATCATGTTCATTTATTACTCTATTCATAATAGTTAGAAATTGGAAACAGCCTATATGTCAGTCAACAAATGAATGGACAAAGAGAATAATGGTATAGTTACACAATGGAATATTACTCAGTCGTTAAAAAAGGGAAATCAGCTGGGTGTGGTGGCGCATGCCTTTAATCTCAGAACTTGGGAAGCAGAGGCAGGTGGATCTCCGATTCTAGTTCCTCTGGTCTACGTTCCAGGACATCCAGAGCTACACAGAGAAATCCTGTTTTGAAAAAAGAAAAAAAAAAGTGAAATAATACAATCAATTCAAAGGTAAGTAGATGGAGCTAAGAAAAAAATCATCCTGAGTGAGGTAACCCAAACTCAAAAGATAAGTAGGTATATATTCACTTATATGTGGATGTTAGTTGTTAAGTCTTGGATAAGCAGGCTACAATCCATATAATCCTAGAGGTTAGGTTAAGGGACTGTGGGGAGGACTGCATTACCCTAGGAAGGGGCTAACAGAATGGAACAGTTATGGATGGATGTGGAGGGACTGGAGTGGGAGGATCAAATGAGGTGAAGAAGGAAGAGGGGGATGAGGGAGGGAATTCGGGGAGGACAGCTCAAATGAAGGACAATTTGAGGGGTTGTATGGAAATAAGACAGTAGAAGCTTCCATAAACATATGAAGGGGATCTAAATGAAATTGCCAAGTAATGAGGGAGACAGAGCCTCAACTGGACATCTTTTGCTGCCAAATAAACACTCCAGTTCTGGGGCTGGGTTACATCTAATCCATTTGTTGGCCAAACCAAACAACCCAGTCTACTGACAGCAAGGCCCTACCTATTGCTGAAGACAACACCCACACAACCCACTGACCATGGAGGAGTCGAGCTGGTGCCTACACAGAGCCTTCATCCCTGCTGACTAGTGTTCAGGGTACTGGAAGGCACTCTGTAGCCACCAAAGGGGAAAGGTGAACAACGCAGCTGCAGAACATTTCATCTACTATGGCTGGCCTCCATGCAGTTGTGCTACCACAGTAGTGGTGCAAAGCTCATGGACTAGGTGCCCAACACCTGCTTGGAGGTAAGGCCCACTCCATGAGATAGAACTCATCCCCAACACTGCTCAAGTGGCCAAGACCCTGAGACGAGATAGGTCGGGGACCTAGGGGCAAACCAAATGCTACTGTTCTGTTAAAGGAACTTAGCAACAAAATGCCTCCTAACAACATTCTTCTATCCTCAGAGATCAGTGCCTTGCTCAGCCATCATCAGAGGAGCTTCCTCCTGTAGTAAATGGGAATAAATACAGGGATCCACGGCCGGACAAATGTGCAGAGTGTGAGGTGCTGGAACACTCGGCCTAAATTTGAGTGTTTGAGATCAAACCCCTCCCCTTAGTGCTCAGGGAACTCTGCAAAAGAGGAGGCAGGAAAGTGTAAGGCCAGAGCGGTTATGAACTCAATAGTATTTCTGGAGGGATGTTTGTCTCAAACTGCTTTGTCTGGGCACCACCCCCCTCGCCCTCAATCTTACAGGACTTTGCTTATCTATGTTTTCTGATTTTGTGATTTAGGGATTTCTGTATTTGCCCATGTGTGTGTCTCTGTGTCTATATCTGTTTCTTGTGTTTTTTCTTTGGCTCTTGGTTTTCCATTTGTTTTGTTTTGTCCTGTTCAGGTTGGTAGGACTTCGTCTAACTTGTTTGGTTTCTACTGAGAAAGAGCAGGAAAGGAGGTGGAGAAATCTGGGAGGAGTTAGGGAAGGGGAACCATGAGAATATATTATATTATCTGAACAAAATTCTGCTGGGTGTGCCTGCTTGCTACTCACTCTTCCGTAGAAGTAAAACTTTTTGCCTTCTAAAAACAAATCCTGGTACCATAAGACTATTTCATAGTGTTCTGTCATGTATAATAAAATACACTAGGATTTCTAAGATTCATGAGTTCTTACATGATATGATTCTGTAATTTCAGGTTTATAACAGGGAAAAAGGCTTTCCTCTAAACATAATTCAGTTAGTTTAAACAGCACTGTATCATTGGTTAGAATGGAAATAACGAATTAAGTCATAGGAAGCCTAAGTCTAACCTGTGGGGTTCAATTGCTTTCAGATTATGGCTTTGGAGTTTAATGTCACATTTCTAGTCCTCTCTCAGAATTCATAAGGATTGGTTTCAGAACCCCTACAAGTAAACCAACTGGTTACTATTCAAATCTCTTATATAAAAAGTCATAGTATTTCCATGTAATTTGCACACATCTCATATACTTAAACCATCTCTAGATTACTTATAATACTTAATACAATGTAAATATTATATAAATAATTATAATATGGTATTGTTTATGGAATATCAAGAAAAAAGCATCATGTCCAGTACAGGTTAAAATAACAATTAAAATAGTTTTGATTTACAGTTGATTGAATCTGCACATATAAACCCATGGATACAGAAAGCCCATGTAGTTTGTAATATGCTCATATAATAAAATTTCAGTTTCCATGAAAGAGTTGAGGTCATATCAACGGCACTTCTAGATCTTCATTTTTGAGAAGTGGTTTCTGAATGATGATTTAAGTTTATTAATATGAAAAATTAAAAAATTAGACAATTTTAGTTATTTTTTTTGGCGCTCCCTTTCCTGTATGAAACCCTGGGTTTGATCCCCAGCATCACATGAACTTGGGTATGGTGGTACCCAACTGTAATTCCAGCATTCAGAAGACAGAGAGGAGGATTAGAAGTTCAAAGGTCGCCGGGCGGTGGTGGCGCACGCCTTTAATCCCAGCACTCGGGAGGCAGAGCCAGGTGGATCTCTGTGAGTTCGAGGCCAGCCTGGGCTACCAAGCGAGTCCCAGGAAAGGCGCAAAGCTACACAGAGAAACCCTGTCTCGAAAAACGGAAAAAAAAAAAAAAAAAAAAGAAGTTCAAAG